AAATGCTCCTATTATATGCAGATGATCCATTTTTTCTAAATGATTCAGAAGTTGATCTTTACAGGAAACTCATTTATTTTAGAAAAATGCTCTGCAGAGAATAAAGTCAACGCGGATAAAAGTAAAACAGGCTTCAGGGTGAACTCTAGATCCAAATTCTGTTATGGAGGACATCTGGCAGAAATTGTCAATACTTACTTTGGTGTGAGCTTTTGATATTCAGCAGGCTTATTTTCCTAAATTGTAAAATTCTCAGTAGTGCGAGCAAAACGATCCGCTGGTTCAGTAATGAGTAATAACGTTATCTATTAACTCTAAAATCAAATCATTACCAACTAGAATAAAGCTCTCTGATTTTAGAACATTAATAGGTAGTTTACTCTACTGTGCCGGTGCCGGTTGCAGATTGTATGGTACGTTTAGAAAATGGTTAGATAAAATTAATTTGCAGAATCGACAAAATAAATATCGATAAGGTACCCAAGAATTTGTGCTAAACGAAAAAAGGTAGGTTTGCGTCGTCCTATTCGCGTCACATTTTAAGGTAAAAACAAAGGCATTTACAAAATTTCTATATTTCTCTTCGTGCTCAAAAATAGCACAGTGACACATCGTTAAGGCCTATTTATTGAATAGAGAAAAACATTTTTGCAAGGATACATATATCAATTTGGATAGATGCAGTGTAATACTGATAATAATAGTAGGTACTATATTTCCAAATTTTCGGGGAAATGGAGTCAGTCGTTTTTTATTTAATCAATACAATAAACTGTCTCATTCATTAATTTTTTTTGATCACCCTGTACACTTGTACAGGTTATTCTAAAAACTATGAGTGCATTGATAAACCATAAGTATAAAGTCATAATATTTTGCATATTTCAGAGATGAGGTCATCAATTTTTTGGGAGGGCATAAACGAATATATTTTGATTAATAATTTACCATGATTACGATAATCTTAAAACGTTTGCAAGATTGGAGAGCATTCGGTGTTGCAGTTTCAAAGTTAAATTGTAAAATGTTGTGATACAATTTTCATTTTTTTTTCCAAATATCTCGATGTCTAGGGTGAAAACTCAACACGGATTCATACACAAGTGCAGAAGTATCTTATTTTATACAATTAAAAACAGATGCAGATAACATGATCCAATTGGTGGTGGAGAAGATTAGCTAAATTTTTGAATAGCGTTCTACCATCTACATTTTCTAAATGATAGTCGTAATATATTATCTAGGATTATCTATATAATAAAACACGACACAGACAGACATACAGACGGAAACGGGGGACCACTTTTTCGTACTCTAGGGGATCATGAAACATCGAAAAAACATGAACGTGGCAAGCTACCCGATAGACTTGATTACTATACTTCCTTAACTTACGCTCAGGAAGTCAAAATCATTATTTGTGCGTTTGATGACATCATTTCGAAATTTTATTAAGAAAATCTCGCTTGGAACATACACATTCCTTTGTCTGTTGTTTAATGTCCCACCTCTGTTGTTATTTTCACTCAGCAGGGGTTATAACAACGAAATAAAGTTCCTAGCTTATTGTACTTCAAAATTCAGTCTAAATAACTTTAAACTATTTCTTGTTGCCCGGTTCCAAAGCGTGTCACATCTTCACTGTCAGTGTTCAGTTTAATGGTTATCGGCGAATTGGTTTACTTTTGTGGTTTACTTTATTTTCAGAACTTGATAAGAATGATAAGGTGTAGTAACACAAATTGCTCACTCTTTTCTTTTGCATAAATACATATAATCAAAAATAAATCTTATACTTTCTTGAATTTCCCTCGTCATATACCAATTATTTGCGTAGCTCTGGCTGCGCATATGTTCCAAACTGGATATCCTATAAGGATAGCAAACACAGCATTTCTTGGGGTCGAATCCTCTCATTACTATGTGTTTTTGGGTTGATCATTCTCCTAGTCCCTCTAATAATTCTATTATGATCGAACCTCTCCATTACGGCAAAATTGCAGATGCACTTAGTACTCTTTGATTTGTATTTGTTGTATTATGGGTTAATTGCACTTACCTACATTATGTATTTTGACGTTATGTTCATTATAAACATAATTATTTTGTAAAAATATAAATGTTATAAAATGTATCATCCTTTTTGTTATATTTTGTTTGTTCTGAAATTTCAGAATATGTAAAATGTGTTAATTCATTGCTATAATACCTATTAATTAATGTCACTGCCAATTATTCTAATAAGTTTAAATTAAAAGATGATTATCATACTGCTTCTTAATCATGATAAAATCATTTCAACTATTATTTCATCGCAAAGACATAGCAGAACAATCTCTATTCAATCTTAAACAGCGATTCTGAACTATGCGATTTCTACAAGGTTAGTGGTATATTAGTGTTATAAAAATGAACATTATCTGGTTAATTTCAAATAAACAGCGAACGCACTACCAATCTGTCAACATAATAAACCAGAATAAAAGATAAAATCAGTCTTTAAATTGCAACGCACTCTAACATTTCAAAAATAAGTCTTTTAATGCACTGTTGTGAAGTGTACAGGACGCCTGATAAGCGATCGAGTAGATGATTAGGCTGTATACTCCTTGTATAGTTAACGACTTTAGTATCAAACCGAAACGTACTAATAATTTCAACAAAAAACGACTTAATCGAGTGATTAAGAAGTTTTTACAAGGGAAGTGGATATACGAAGTATGAAAGCTCTATGCCTACGACGCTCTATTGAAGGTAAATCCACAACTCTGGACGCTATAATGATAGCGATATAATATACATGTGTGCTACCACGCGTAAATTTCGTAATAAACCCTAAAGTTCTTTATGTTTAAAGTGACTTTAAACCATTGTTACAATAATTTGTTGCTACGAGAAAAACTCACTTTAAATTTTAAACGAACTTTAATTTTATTATGAAATTGGCCCTTAATATTTTAAAGTTTTATAAAGTTTTACTAAAAAAGTGTTTTCTAATAGTTCGAGGCAATGATATCAAGAACATTTTTTTTTTATAAAAAATTCGAAAATTTTTCAAATCTAAGTTGTACTGGCGCACAAAGTTTCGAGTACGAATAAGAAAAACATAAGTTTTAGTGGAATATCCCATACATGATAAGGACAATATTTTCTTTTATTTGGTTTTGTGTCTCACACCCTGATTCTGTCGAGTGTTAGCCAGTTTAATTTAGTTTCTATAAAAAGTTTAAATTTTGATTTACTACCCACTCAACAGAGTGATAAGCTCGATTATATTACTTAATTTTCACTCCTAAACGACAATAATTAAAAAAAAAAGCAAATCATTACTCTCAAGGAAAACTGCCACGGACAAAACAGAAAATAAATAATTTTTCGTGTTAAAACTTTATAGACCTTTACCGATTCAAATGTCATGGCTAAAAAATGTTCGCCAACAGATCAATAGCAGCTCCTCTGCTAAGCAATTGCTTACAACTTTATCAAGTGGACCAAGTACATTTTTAATCTTTGACGAATACAAATTTATATTTCACCTTCCTTGCACGATTCCCTTAGAGAAAAATGGTACATTTTTACATTACAAAAATCAAGTACATTAATAGTGGAAGTAGTAATCCAATACGAAGTCGAGACTTGGTTGTAAAACTGCGCAGCAATAACCTTACTCAATCAATGGCAGTTTAATTTAACGTTTTTTAAAAAAAAGTTAAATTAAATTGGCGTTGATTAAGTAAGGTTCTTTGTTTAATTCGTTTAAATTTTAACAGATACGGTATTGTTTGAGTTTTTTAATGTTACATTCGGCTTATAATCCGCAGATACATGGTATAAATTGGTTAGGAAAAAATTATTGACGATACGGGCCGATGAAAGCTATGGTTGAAACGGGTACCTGAAATAAAAACAATTGATATTTTGTCGGAAGAAGAGAACCCTTCAACTCTCCACTGGTTCCTATTGTTGTCCAAAAATTAATCCAAAAAGATGCATACAAAGCTTAAATAAGTATTTCTGTATTCCTAATATAAAATTCTCAGAGGCGAGTCATATTAACAAAATCTTTCCACTTCATTTATGCTTACGTCTCGGTCAGAAAGAATTCCAGACATTTCGGTTCATTTAGAGTAGTTATTATTTATTAAAGTGCAAACGTCGGATACGTTGCCTTCAAATCCTGAAGAATTGACGTTGTTTTTATTGCAGACTTAAACCAGAATGCACCTCTTGAAAAATGGTTTATATCACATACTTCAAGAGTATGATCATCTTTCTTTTTTTATAAGTTTAGCTCGCCTGATAAGCGTTTCACAAGACTTTGTCGTTAACTGCTCTAGAACACTTCTTGCTTCTGGGCAGCCGGATAACGCCGTAATCATACTTTACCTACTTCAGTCCTCTCTTTTATTATTACTATTAGGCATGCACATCATTCATATACACTACCAGTAGGTTTACAAATCAGCTTATTGATTGAATGACGATGAAGTCGTGTCGAACAATAGAACTGTTGAAATAATGAACCGATTTTACACTTTTTGGAGATCTTAGCTTAGACATATAGTTTTGCGCAACTTTTAAAAATTTGCAGGAGAAAACACCACTCACCATATTTCGAGGGTACATTCTATTTCGATTTATAATAAACGAAACATGCAAACTTGAAACGTATGTTGTTTACGACGGGGATATATGAGACCATCTATCAAAAAAACTGTATAAAAGTCTTACATTCTCTGTTAAACCAAGTCGAGAACCTATAACTCGTTTCCTTGTTAAGGGGAATCAGCTTGGTAAATATTTGACGTCAACGTAAACAACATATAATCAGAATTAGCTATCGATTTTCATAGACTCATAGGATTCTCGCATAACCTTACAAACAATAATACAAAACGAGAGATATTTGCAAGTATAAACAAAGAAATACAACCGTAAACGTTACAATGTTTTGAAATTCGATTAATAAGTATAAGTAATTTTTTGTTTATTTGTTGCAGATGCATTCCAACACGTTAGGGAAAGTATCGAATACATAGACGGAACTAGTGGAATTAATGAGACTGATTTAATATTCCTAAAGGGACTGATGGACAGCCCCATAATGAAAAATTTAGTTAAGGTAAGCAGAAAACACTCAATTACGTAAAACAAAACACGCTGTCAACTTACAACGACCTCTACTTTATCAGCACTACAGCAGCCGTGTTGGTAATTTAATTTTTGCTTAATCATAATGTAGTTAATTCAAGAAAGCCTCAAATGAAAGTAAAGCTGGATCCCAATTTAACAAAAAAAAAACTTGCTTTAAAAAGGAATATTGGCTTTTGTGGTTAGGCATACTTTTCGGTGAGGATTTTTATTCTCACATATTATTAAATAACTTGTTTTAAGTAAGTTTAAAAATAACTAACAGAAAGTAAAAATTTTTTTTAAATGTAACAGTGACTAAAAACAAATTTTTAGTCTTGTTTATTGCTGCTTTTGTGCATATCGTCCAATGCATTGTCATCTGTGAATCACTGAAGCATTTACAATGAATTCAGGGACGTGAAACCTTAGAAATATAATTATATAAGAATAATCCACTTAATCACTCGGTAATATATGCAGGTGAGAGGTAAGTCAATAAGCTCGTGCTCCTCGATATCTCATTAGGTACCTATTATTAACGAGTGTTCAATTGAAAAATCACTCAGAGTCCTAAGTGTTGGAATATTATTTGACACAAACGGCATGCCTGTTCTTATAACATATAACAGGTTACTTCTGCCAAATGCCAAATGGATGTTATAACAATAGGCATGCCGTTTGGGTCAAATGAAATTCCAACACCTACTCTGAGCGATTTTTCTACTGAACACCCGTTATAATTAAAGATATAAAATAAAAAATAAAATTAGTTTTTGCTGTTCAAAGAGCTGCGTAACTTTAATCTTTGACTTTTTTGCGTTAATAACAATTAATGATAATTCACGCGATGTAGAGAAGTCAGCGTTCAGTAACAAGTCCTGTGTACACTATATTCATTTTTTTTTCTGGCTACGTTCTTAGTTTTGATAAAATAAATTTCAAATATACATACTAATTCTATACTAATCAAATGCAATTTAATTATCTTATTCGAGTTGTTGATTACACATTTATACCCTGAGAAAATTAGTCTGTGAATAATAATTTACTAAAATGTTTAATAAAAATTACAAGGGGACTTTTTTAACTAAATAAGAGGCAAAATACCATAGAATTAGATTTTTAAGAAGCTGTAGTGTTTGCATATGCGAGAGCAACTGAGGACGTTGTATTAATATTGTTGTAAAATACAAGGTCCTTGAGTTGAACCGATTGCGACTGTCGAAAAGAGAATGCATATGCAGTTGCTCTATTTCTTACTCTTCGAAATTTCTTTTTTCCATTGTAATGATAAAAATCTGCACTGGACCACCAATCGTGACGGAAGTGGTAGTGAACAATGAGTTATAGTGGGGCGAGTGGGAGGTACAATCGAACCAATTAAAACCATTTCCCGAAATATATCTACGCGTTACTGCAGCTAAATTTGAATTTTCCAGGCCAAACCCGATCAGCAGAACAATCACTATATAAGCCCTCACGATGTTAAACAGTTTAAGATATATAACTTAACTTGTACTCATACCTAGGGGAAGGTGGGACAAAAAGAGGCGCAACGCCAAGACGAGGTATTTCTAGACTGTCGTAATTCAGACATACCAACGATGGATCATCATTACACCCGTTAGACATATATGCAATATTTGCCCAGGCTGCCGTGATGGTGCACGAAAGAAAAATAACACACATTTCTTTTAACATCAGTTAAAATTTCTGTTTACAACATAACTGGACCGAATAACTAAGTATTAGATATCGGGAAAGGTTGTACGGTAATTGGCAATAAGTATAAGAAATAATTCTTAGCTTACAACTTCATTAAATATTTCATATCTAAAATTATTTAGTTGGTCATCATATTTTTTGTTTACTTTGAAAACTTGCATTTAATTGTAGGTCAAAGCTATTGTACCCACTTTTACCCTCTATCTTTCCCTACACAATCGTAAACGACTACGGAATGACGCCAATGTAAGCGGAATGTTCATATTTCCAAATTATTCTCTTTTTAATAATAAATATGACAGATAATCTGTTGGTTTTACTGCAACATTATCAACAAAATAAAAATATAAACAAATCATGTAATGTAAATTAACACAGGTTTTTCAACTCTCCGTAAGTTTGATATAGACGTAGGCAAAGCTATCGTTTTTCTTACGTCACGCAATTCCTAATAAATCAATATTCATTACTCTTTTATGTGTGACTGTATTCGTTAGCATTTTGATATATTATGAATTATGGCATTTATTGTGCAATTTAACGCTACACACCTGCGCATAGAAAAAAGAGTTTCGCTATTTACAAAAATTAGGTTAAAAACATGTTTTAATTAGCTGTTATCTTATGTACACGTGTAATTTTGACTAAGAATTAAGGCAATTATTTTAATATGTTAGTATCATTTAGTATGTAGGTACGCGTGAAAATGTAAATGTAGCAACATTTTAGTTGACATTTTTAACCATAAGAAAAAGCTAATTAAAAACATTTTGAAATTATTCTACGAAACTTACTACTTAATTTAATACAATAAAATATTCCTTACTTACCTAATTAAGTATGTAAAATAACGCGGTTTTTATATCTTGGGACATTCCATTTGTTGATTGTATTTTTATCTAATTTAAACATTAGAGAATTACAAAAATGGTTATAATACATATTTACCAAATACGAGTAACATAAGTATAACAAATAATGTATAAAACCAGTTTATACTAATATAGAGGCCCGATATTTTAAATTGTATGTTATAAAAAGTGTGAAATAAAGTTGCAATATGTAAATTACATGATATGTGATAAATGCAGAACAACAGCCATCAAAAACTATACATTTGCAACATGTTGATAGTTAAAATGAAGGAATCGTGTCCAGTTTATGTAACCAACAATACAGACACATACGCTCCCATAAGAATCGATTGGAAGTCGGAAAGCACAGGTGGTATTCTAATATTTCCAGCTATGCTAGAATATTATTTTACATTTCCAGATAAAATACTTGGTAAACTTATTGTGAAAGTCGTATAATTCTTTAATGCCATTCTTCGGTGTTAAAAAGGTAGATTTTCGATTAGAACTTGCTATTTCATTGCATTTTCGGTTTTGAATGAACACATACGATCACACATCGTATGATTTCCACAAGTGAACGACTTACAACAAAGCCTCTTCTTAATTGCAGTAGTTTCCGTTCATGTTATGTTCACATCAAGTACCTAAAACAAATCAGGCCAAAGAAAGAAAGCTTTCGTTAATGAAGAATTTCCGTGGGACGTTCAAGATGACAAATGTTTTGACCTGTGGTGAACTCCCAGTGCTCAACGTTTGGCTGAAAACAACTTTAATCAGACTGATTCATGATTCATCCAGCACTTTTAGTTCGTAATGTAACTTGTCGCGTGAAATTTATATTTACATTATTTTTACATTATGAGAATTGGCTAGGACATATAACGTAATTTTTGAATTTTTCGATTTGCTCCTGCTTCTAAACAAAGTATTTTTTATATTTGATGGTAATGTATACTTTAAAAGACAATAGTAATTCTTCGTAGTGCCTATGTAATATTTTTTCCTTTACAATATATTTGTTGCACAACATGTATTATCCTCTTCAATGAAGGAAATATAAAATCACTGAATGTGAAATTATACAGAAGACCGCTTACCAAGTCGAGGGTAATGCCGAATGCGTGTACGACCGAAATGTGTTGAGGTCCTCACCCGAGACATTTACTTAATTGAACTTACAACTCATGTGGTTAATACAACTTTTTTGCACAATTAATTTACAAAAAAAAGAAAAACGTAAAACAGAAATAGATAGATCCAAAAAAGTAAACCAACTATTACTTTTTAAAATTTATTGGCTAAAACTGCTACAGAATCCCTTTTATTTAATATTTTGTGCATTAAAGATTAAAATGTTATCCTAAATAAGATAGCAAAAATGACGATATTGAAGTAAGTATTATACCTTGAGATGAAAGTTAGTTTTTAGTCAAAATTCGAGGCCACATACTCGTAGGTATACCAAACTTAAGCAGTAGTGAGCTGAAAAGCATGTTTTATTAGTCCAGTGAAGCACAAAGTGTAGGTCCGCTGGCAACTTTTATTCTGAATATACGATGTTTAATGAGTGAACCAAAATAAATGACTTCATTAATTTTATTAATTAAATAAAAAATGGTTAGGTACCTAAATTTCCCAAAGTTTCAAAAATTTCAATCCCATTACTTTTCTTTAATTTAAGTAGCACCTGTTTATGTTTTGTAGCAGGTTATACAAGAAAAGGCTCAATTAAAACTATTTTTATCAACTATTCTCTCATGTGTTTCATAAAGCGAATTAACATTATCCGCAGAATTCTAATATAATATACATTATTAAAATTTTCCATTTTGAAAAATGAAAATCACTACCAACTTTCATGTAACAGTTTTTTATAAAGACCAGAGACCTTGCATAATTTCTAATTTGCGTCTTTCCTTGAACATATTTTATTTCTTAGAGCTTTTGGAGGTATGTACATCAATTTATTTTTAAATATCCTTATGTTTGGTTCATGCTTATAGTTGAACAGACCCTGTACAGAACGCATAAGGTGGTGATCTTTATAACAACACTCGAAACTGTGCTGTCAATTTGTTTATAATACCCCAAATTCCAAAAAAATCATTATCACAATTGTTATGAACACCCTCTAGCATATAGTTTTGTCATTAGTCAAACATTGATGTTAAATTTTGGTTTTTATCATTAACTGGCTCATACATCCCAGTTTATCTTAAATTTTAATATAAGTAAACATTGCCGATATTAACAACGTGAAATTTAAAATGTCTTCTTGCTCGTATTAAAAAAAAAAAGAGTTTATGCGAATTTTGAAGTTGTAGAATCCATTACATTCTAAAATAATAAAAAAAAAACACGTTTCCTTTGTTTTTGAGCGAAGGATTTTCAAAGCACAGCACAGAAA